ATTACAACATTCTCAGAGGTTTCTAGAAGATTCTTGAGTAACCTTATAACCGTGGTTTTGAACTCTATATCCAGTATTTTGCTTTCATCCATTTCTTTCATTTGTGACTTGTTTCTTTGTCTCTGCATTTTCGCTGCTTCCCTGTGTTTGTTTCTATGTACTGGGTAGCTGCTAAGTCTCCTTGAGTTGATAGAGTGGCCTTGTGTGGTAGGTGTCCTATAGGGCCCAGTGGCTTATCTTCCCCAGTAACCTGAGGTGAACACTCTTGATGCACATCTTTGTGGGCTGTTTGCACAGTCTCATTGTAGTTAACCCTTGATTGCTGTTGGTATCACTGGGAGGAATTGACCTCCAGGACGATTGGTGTGATGACCAGCTGGGTCTATATTGGAAGATCTATTGCACAGGAGACACCCGTATGGGGCAGGACTTGCTTCAGTGGGGCTTTGGTGCTCACTGAGTCTTCCTCTTGAGTGTGTTGCTTATGGTTGTGAAGAGTTGTAAAATTGTATGGTCTCACTCTGACTACTGGGTACACTGACTCTTGGATCTCTAAGGAGGTACAAGGTCAGCTACTGTCTGGGGTTGCCCAGCAGGATAATCAGAGACAACTGCAGATTCCTCCTCTTTGTATGAGGTTTGGAAGTGCTCAGACGAGGCCCAGCTGTGAAGCAAGGCAGGCTGCTGCTGCCAGGACTTGAGCCTTCTTTTGGAAGCTCTGGGGCTCTCTGACCCAGCTGCAATTTGACAGGTTTTAGGCAGAGAAAGGACAGGCTATTTATAGGCAAAAGCCAATGTGCACAGCTTAGGTGGGATTGTAAAGTGGGTGGGACGGGGTCTCTGGGAACCACCAGGGTGGAGCAAACAGCAATGGCTGCCTGTCAGCCCTGCATCAGAGAGATCCCCGGGTCTCCACATTCCACGCCCCCATGCAGGAACAATGATCACTGAGAGCACCTCTGAGAGAAAGCCGCCTTCGCGTTCCTATCCCGATGCCAGACTGTCCAGTTTCTCCCCATATGTGTCTGGGTCCCCCAGAGTCTCACCCAGAACTGAATTTCAGAGCAAGCAGAGCTTATATCTCGCTCCCGATTAAAAGAGCAGCACATCCAGGTGCCAGCACTTTCCGTGCCTCCACACCTCTTACCAGTCTTAATGTGCTTTCTTCACCTCTCCAGTTGTGGAACTTCCACTGAGCCAGCTTTCCTGTGGTTCTGGGTGGTAGTTGTTCTGCCTTTTAGTTGTAATTTTGATGTAGTTGTGAGAGGCAGCAAGTATAGGGGTTTACATATGCCGCCATCTTGGTTTCTCCAAAATAAATTACTTTTAATGGTAAAAAAAGTTTTGTTGGCCCAGCTGGTGTTGCTCAGTAATTGAGCATTAATCTATGAACCAGGAGGTAATGATTTGATTCATGGTAAGGGCACATGCCCAGGGTGCCGGCTGGATCCCCATCAGAGCAGGATCTAATAAGCTTCACAAGGAGCTTATTCAAAAGAAGATGTGGGGGGTCCTCCGCCAGCGCCCGCCAGAGCCTGTTCGCGTCGACTGACCAGAGTCCGCGAATTCGCCGCTCCGAGCCGTCCGGACCGCCCCGACCCCAGCTTTCGATCCTTTGAAACCACTAAGAATAATGTCCCTGCATCAATTTTTACTAGAGCCAATCACCTGTCATGCCTGGAACAGGGACCGTACCCAGATTGCCCTTAGCCCCAATAATCACGAAGTTCACATCTATAAAAAGAACGGGAGCCAGTGGGTGAAAGCTCATGAACTCAAGAAGCACAATGGACACATCACAGGTATCGACTGGGCTCCCAAGAGCAACCGCATTGTCACTTGCAGGGCAGACCGCAATGCCTATGTCTGAAGTCAGAAAGATGGTGTCTGGAAGCCAACCCTGGTGATCGTGAGAATTAACCGTGCAGCCACTTTTGTCAAGTGGTCCCCACTAGAGAACAAATCTGCTGTGGGAAGTGGAGCAAGACTCATTTCTGTTTGTTACTTTGAGTCTGAAAATGACTGGTGGGTAAGCAAGCACATTAAAAAGCCAATTCGCTCCACGGTCCTCAGCTTGGATTGGCATCCCAACAATGTTTTGTTGGCAGCAGGATCATGTGATTTCAAATGCAGGGTGTTTTCTGCATACATTAAAGAAGTGGATGGAAAGCCAGCCAGCACACCCTGGGGCAGCAAGATGCCTTTTGGTCAGCTGATGTCAGAGTTTGGTGGCAGTGGTACTGGTGCCTGGGTGCATGGCATCAGCTTCTCTGCCAGTGGGAGTGACTGGCCTGGGTCAGCCACGACAGCACCGTGTCCGTTGCCGATGCCTCAAAAAGCGTGCAGGTCTCAAGTCTGAAAACAGAGTTCCTGCCCCTCCTGAGTGTGTCATTTGTCTCAGAGAATAGCGTTTTAGCTGCCCGCCATGACTGCTGCCCAATGCTCTTTAGCTATGATGACCGCGGCTGCTTGACTTTGGTCTCCCAGCTAGACATTCCAAAACAGAGCATCCAACACAACATGGACAAGAGGGCCACAACTGAGGACTGCAGTACAGCCTCGGAGACGCTGCACCAGCATAGCATCACTCAAGTGTCTGTTTATGAGGTGGACAAGCAAGACTGTCGCAAATTTTGCACTACAGGTATCGATGGAGCCATGTCAATTTGGGATTTCAAGACCTTAGAGTTTTCCATCCAGAGGCTCCGGATAATATGAAGCTGAGTGAGCCTCACAGCA